AAAAAAAAACCACTTTCCTTTTTTTAAAGAGACACAGAGAAAGAGAGAGAGGTGAGAGAGCAATGTCATGGCTTACCATATACTGACTATAAATATGCCATTTTAAGGATAAGAAAACAGATAAATTATGTGGTTTGAACTACATCAAATGACCAGCAAGGGAGAAATCTAGAACTTGACCATATTTAAATCCATTTATTCTATTCAATTACCAAGGTATCTGCATTACACTCCATTTTAGGTTATAAGAAATAAGTCAATTTATTAAACAAAAAAATAAAAACAAAAGCAATCTTCCCCTATTACAAGTTCAAATCCCTACTATAGCCTTTCTCAGTTGTTTCAAGAGATAAAATGTATTTAGGTAGCATATAGTTAGTTCACCTTCTCTGAAATCAATTAGCATTACAGTATGAGTTCATATTTAGACGTAAAACCACAACTGAATACAAATCTATTCAGGGAACAAATATTATCTAAATATCCACAGTGTGCAGGTATTCGTAACAATTACTATATAAGGTGGACAAAAAAATGAGACACATTCTAGCCTTCCCAGAAGAACTCAGAATCAATCTAAAGAGGCCAGTAGTAAGTAAGCATAAGAAAACTAATAGAGGTACCAAGGCAATTATAAGTGAAGCATAAATATACAGATATTCTTTACTTTTTTTTTTCCTTCCCTAAACTAGTGAGAACTCTGTCTGCAAAAGACTTAAGAATCTTGATTGTTTCTGGGGGGAAGTGACTGAATATTCACTAACAAAGGAATGTTTGGTACTTAGTTGGAAACACACTCCTACTTTGATCAATAACTGCTACAGGGCTGACACTTAAAATAGGAACCTAAGATATTTGCAAAGGGGCTGCAAAAGCAACAAGATACAATTAGACTTAAGTAAATGATCCTGGATTTCAGTTCAGATTCTCGATCTTAGCTAGCCAACATTGGGTAAGCCATTTAACCTCTCATCTGTAATGTCACCATATTTAAAAATGGGGTCATCACCCACCCTACTTACTTTATAAGGCTTGAAGGCTCAAATGAGAATGTACACAGCAAAACTACCTTGTAAATTACAAAGTGCTACCCTAACACAAAGTACTATTTATTTTTATAAAAAGACAGGTAAATAGATACATATATACACACATAAACACATGTGCACATACATACACATAGTGTTATAATCCACCAAGGCACCAAACAACTGTAGAGTAAAAATTCACTTTCAACATTTTAGTTTTTAAAATACATGTATTTCTTAAAGTTAAAGATCAAATCCTATGAGGCAACAGCTAAAAATTTAGGTGAGAGTACTTACCTTAACAAAATTATCAGGAAACATTCCTCTTCTTCCATTTAATTCTCCTTCTAGCCATCCTTCCTCCTGCAGTTTTTTCACATTCCTGATGATTTCACCAACTCGAATAGTTAATTCATCATCATGTACAGCATCATAGTCATACTCTACGATATAGTCAACTAAAAAAAGAAAAATAAACGTCTAAAATTTAATTCATGAAATATAATAAACCATATTAATAAACTTAAAATTAAGGAACCTGTTTAACGACAACATTACAAAGATAGCATCAAGGCTTCCTTCAATGATTTTAAATATTTGGCTACATCAGCAAATTTCTCAAATGCCTTAGTATAAAGTACAGTACAAATTATAAGTAGAAGCCTGAATACAATGTATAATTCATATCATCAGGTGTTTTTATGGTCAGATGTATACATTGTTTGCAATAGACAAACTCTAGAGTGGTCCCTATGACACCCGCCCAATCTCTTGATATTCGTGTCCTTGTGCAATTCCCTCTCCTTGACTGTAGACATGACTTATGACTGACTTCTAACTAACACAATATGACAAAGATGATGGATTGTATATAATGATGTAAGATTACAATGTCTATCTTGCTAGGAATCTCTCACCCTTGCTGGCTTTGAAGATGCAAGCTGTTTTGCTATGAGCTGACCTATGGAGAAACTGATGAAGGTCTCTGGCTAACCACCAGCAAAAAACTGAGGCTATCAGTCCCAGAGCCTAGAGAGAACTAAATGATGCCAACAACCAGGTGAGCTTGGAAGCAGATCCTCCCCCAGTAGAGAACCCAGACTTGGCCAACACCTTGCTGGCAGCCTTGCAGAGTACCTAATTAGTCACTCCCAGACTTACTGAAACACAAAAATTGTGAGATCATATATGTGTATTGTTTTAAGCTGCTAAGTTTATGGCAATATTGTTACTAAACAATAGAAAATGAATACACCCTTAAGTAAAGATTAATAAGGATCTATTTTACCACCTTTAAGTATAGAATTTTAGATTACAGGACATCATATATGCATACTATTAATATTTTACAAGGTTCAATACAAGAAAAGCTATAACAGATTTCATATTCAAGATGATAGACTAGCTATACCTCCATTCATCTTTTTCTCCTACTATGAGTATGATT